TTCTCTCCCAACCGACCTATCACGACTGAACGATTGTGTATCAATATTTCTAAGCTTTTTATATTTTAATCAGATTAGCCTGCAAATTGCTGGTTCACACTTCCAATGAGCGCAAACATGCTAAAAGAAAATGGAAAAATACCACTACTCTACTAATAAAATAAAACCACCAAATTTCAAAGACATTTTAACCGTTTCGAGTTTTGGACAGGTTTTTTTTTTCTTTATATTTTTATCATATGCACACCTAGTGTATTCACCAAATTTCAACTTCATTGGATCATCAAAAAATATAACTCAAGAAATAGGACATACTCGCCACCATCCTATCAAGATCGCATACACTGCTTTCTGGAAAAAAAACACACACACTACTGAGACACAGAGAGATCAGCCTCATTGCAACAGCAAACCAGGCTGCCTATATATTTAAACCAACCTCATAGAACCTTCCCATATGGCAATTTACCATTTTGTTAAGACCAGATGGAATTTGAAACTAAATGGACTCCTAGCCCATAATTCTTTTATAGAAGGGTGTGGTTGGCCAAGGCCTTAAACAATCAAATTGTGTACCTACAAATTGTGTTGAAATATGTTTCAATATTAGAAATCTTTGTGATGGCCTGAAAATTTATTTTCATCTCTAATTATAAAATTTAAAGCTTAAAAAATAGTACAGATCAAGCAGATAACATTTGAAAATTGGCTGTCCGAAAATGCATTACAAGATGTCCTATATCCAAGACTTGAAATCCATTTTTCCTAATCGCTATACATCTAGAGGTCAAGATGATTGATTTAAGGATTTTTCAACATCACAACTTCTTTTAGTGAATTTTTGAGGTGCTGATTGTTTAGGGCCTCCCCCTTGTATAAACTTCTTGCTTTATAGAAATACTAGCTACCCTTATTCCATAACCAGTAACCTGATTTGATAAATATCAAAAAGCATAAATCCTGTGGCCAATATAAACAGTGTTTTCATATATGTATATACATGTATGGGACAAAACTTCTCCTATTATACTGTATATGTAACAGAAGATGGCCAGTTTTACCCATATTTATGCAACAAAAATTGCCATCAATTGCAAAAAGGACCAGAACTACCTGCTAGACAATTTCGAATTCTAATTATACAGGTCGCATTTCGAAGTCTACAGCACAGAGACTGGTCGCCCACCATCTGTACTGGTCAATGGACGGTGGGGATGCACAGCTCTCTGCAGTTTCAACTCCCTTAGGAAGACCAATGCACATCCACCGTCCCAATTTAAGATTAGATGGTGGAAGACCAGTCCTCATGTCAGATGCCGCATGTGTCATGGTATCGGGACCTAAACAATCAACCAGAGAATGTATAATTCATGAGCTCGGACCGAGTGCTTCGACGTGTAACTTATGCATACCCTATGCCTAGCAAGCGGGTGTGGGAGCCATTAAAGCAACAGTGGGTGTGTGTAGAGAGAGAGAGTGAGGAAGAGACAGAGAGATAGATTGTTTAAAGCCAAAGGGGAGGAAAAAAATCAATTAATTTAATGATGGATTAAAGTGAGAGGCAGAACACCCCCTCCGGTAGATTTCGGGGCATGGGATGGGCAGTGACATATCTGTGAGGGGAAGATGTTTTGCGAGGATCAGCAGAGGTTGATGCGGCCGAAGTGTCCACCCCAACTTCCACTTGGCCACCACGCCCATGGAATCTGGCAAACCGATTGATGATTGAAAACCTCTCCAAATCGTGCAACTCCAATCTGATGTCCAACAACGAGACCGCCTTGTCCAACCTGGGAATTTCAAAGTAACGAGTCAAAAAGCTAACCTTTCCTTTTAGACAATGTATGTGTGCGTGTGTGTCGGAGCCCCGGGGGGGGGGGAAGGGGGGAGATTAGTGAATCAGCCAGCCTTAAACAATAGGAACAATAAAGATTGCTTGGAAGTATTGCATAATCCATAGTACCACATGAACTATGACTGTGGTCATAAGGGTCAGCACTGTCCACTCAATGGATTGGATGATGATAAGAGCGAGTGGGACATCCCAAACACGATGGGACTATTGTATCCCATGCTCAATCACCATCACCATCCAAACCCTTGATAGGATGGCAATGATCCTCATGACTTACACCTATCTCTTACTTCAAATCCATGACAATTCCAAGGACCCATATTTGAACCTTCCTTAGTCCTCTCCCCCTCCTTTTGTCCGTTCTCGTTCCCTATTCCAGTCTGACATTCCCCAAACAACATTTTCACTTCACTGATCTCAATAATCCCATGAAGGTCCAAGGATCACACCTAGGGCTGCCAATCAGGCTGGGCCTGGCTTCAGGCTGCATTCACTACGCCAGAACAATTTTCAGACCGAGCCCAGGTAAGCGTAGTCCTGGTCCAAAAATCATAAACACACACATGCCATAAAAAAAGGCCCAAACCTGGCCTCATCCAATTTTCAGACTGCACTTGTCCCTCAATGTTGTAATTTAGACCAAGTCATGCCAGGCTGGTTCCGCCCGAAACAAGTCGTTGACAGCCCTAATCACACCAAAGGACAAGTCAACAATCCTCACCGAATTAAACCAACTTTTCTTCCACCCCAGTTACTCTATTTGCTTCCTGCACATTGACACCCACTTAGACAGGAAAGAAAACTCTTCTTTCCCCCCCAAATCTCCACTATTGAAGAAGGAATGGATTGTCTCACTCATCCTGGCATTCTCATTCAAAATGCATGCAAAACACTTATATTCAATGCACACGCTCAGCACAGCCCCTACATACCTCGATATCCCCAGTCCCCAATCATTTTTCAAGCCATCAGACAAAACCTAGGAGCATGGATGCATATTCCTATTTAAACAAGAGCTCTGATTTCCACTCAAATTGTGGCTCCATTGTCACACAAATATGAATGCACCAACATTTTCAGCCTCGGACTCAGCCCTGGCTGAAGCTGAGTGACTCGGCCAAATCCAAGTGGACTTAGCCAAATCCTCTACAGGTAAAAAAGAAGCCTAAAAATTCCAAAAAAAAAGAAGAGGAAAAATATCTGTTAAAATAGTTAAAAAACAGCAAAAGTGAAGCAATAGATATCATTAAAAGTCTATAGAAGTCAAAAAGAGAATATAAAAGATGGATTATTGAAATTTTTTATTTATATCTTGAAATCTTTCAGAAAATCGAAAAAAAAAAAAAAGGGACAAAATGAAAAATTGGAGCATGCAATAATAAAAGTTACCAAAGCATCATAAAACCCCTATAAATCATATACAAATATAATTATAAGTAATGTATCAAGATTCTTTTTTAGCAAAATTAGTGACTTCTTAATAATTTTTAACAGGGGCGAGTTGTCCCTCGGAACTTGCCTAGGCCTTGCGCCAAGTCTGAATGGACTGGGCCAAGGCTTCAAACACTGGAATGCACAACCCATGACTGCGTTCCCTTCCAAAAAACAGACAACCCCATCAACTAGCTACATCTCAGTTTGCTAGTCTCCTCCATAAAGGTTGAACCATTAATGTAAATAGAGTTACTCGACTACCTATTACAACTGAGTTCATTGTATTCTTCTTGGAAGCAAAGCCATTTGAGCAAGACCCTGATAATTTCCCCTCTTCACTGGATTCTCCAAAACAACCTACATGGCCAAAGCAAAAATATATCCAATTCAACCAAAGACAACACCTCCTTGCTCCTACAACAAGTCGGTTTAGCACCGAGTGTCATCAACCCTGAAACCCAACGCTTGTCCTAGCCCTCCCATCTGACTAACCTCACAAGCATAGACCCTAAGGTCTATTACAAATGGCAAGTAGCTATTTACCTAACAGAGCAGAGCCACTGCAAGCCAACTCCTAAAGGCCCATGTAACTTGCCATGAAGGAGCCCCATTCAATGTTAGACTTACCATGCCATTTCACCCAGAAATTGAGGGCCTCTCACAGCTACCCCTACACGAATGCCAAAAAATATTCTTTTCTTCTGCCTCTAACCAATTTTGTCAGCCTTCAACCTATCACCCAATCCACCAAAATTATTACATATACCCCCTCACTCTGATTACCTGAGACCCTACACCTTGGCAAGTTCCCCACCTCCAACAACCGATAAAATCAATACATACAATTTTACAGCATAAGCATCACATGTAACAACTAAACAGTAAAAATATTTACGTATTACACTTCCATTTCAAATTCACATTCAAAACAAATTGAAAAGATAATCATTCACCCATCATCCAACATCAAAATAGAAATATTTACTACAAAAAAATATTATCATCTCCTTCAGGAACTCCACCACAAAACTGATCCCCCTCCACAAACCTGAATGACCAGGCACATGAATGAACACTGTCACTGCTTACCGATCCAAAAGGTGAACATGGTTTAACTACAACCTCTAGCATCAAGCAAGTTCAATCAATCAGCATGACATGAAAGGGGATAGCATAGACATAAACTTCCCACTTTACATCAGTTTACACAAAACTTCGGTGCAGAGTTAACCATGTTCACCTTCACTGACAATGAATCTGCGTCCTATCCATATTCTATATTGTTGCATTGCGTAGTCTAGTAATGATCACAATCACTAGTGAAAACTTCAAGAAAGATCTTTCTCAGAATTTAGCAGATCTTGCCTAGCTCCCTAATTTTCTGTCATGTACCCAGTAAGTTTAATGGACACACGGGCAGGGGGAGGGTGGGGGGAGATAGGTTGAGTTAGTTGTAGTGGCGTGGCATAAACCCAAAAAAGCAACAAAGAATGCAAAAATCCAAGGAAAAGGCCAAGATAAATTGAAGCAACAAGGTCCACACTGACAAATAATTTATTTGGATGATATGGAGACAAATTAACTGTTAAAAGTATGTGGATCATGTTGCTTAACAAGAAGGCCAAACTACAAATTGCATTTCATTGATCTCCAAAAAGATCCAGCCCATACCTCAACAAATCATTTTCCAGCTTCATTGCTTTGCCACTGAAGCCTTCAATTACTTTTGAAAGGATTTGGTCTCCTCCACTTTCGGAACTGTTATCACTTCCAGATGTCCTGTGTAGGGGGGAGAGAGAGAGATGAGAAATGTCACTGAAGGAAAAATAGAATGCTGAAACTTGAAAAATCTATGAATAATGGTTTTTTCTCAGGAAAAAGACAATGTTCCAGCCTAACAACCTTATTAGGTGGCCTAGTCCCCCAAGAAATGTATTCAGGAGCTTTTTATTAACTGAAAATTGTCAAATGATTTTCACCTTTTGAATCCCACACAAATCCCTCAAATAGACAGTCCAGCGGAAGCCTTTTAGGGGTATTTGATTTGGAGCAAGTTTTGAGCTCCAAATCATTCTTTTTATTTAATGGAATTAATCTTGGGGGTAACTAAGATGATCGGGAGATTTTTAGATCTATAAAATACCCCTAACTAAGTTTTTGGGAAGGTCAACCATGTGTTGCCGATAGTCAAGCCACCTTCCTGCATTGTTTGCTTGATAAAAGTCTTTAACAATTGTAATTAGCTCCAAAGATGACAAATCCCAACTGAAGTGATGGAACTTACGCATTCTCATTGTTGGATTGTGTGCTTCCAACCACTCCTGAACCAGTTCTTTTGTAGGTGATTAAGCTGCAAGCATCTCCAAGTGCTACTCTAGAAAGGAAATAGACAGCACTTTCATATTCAGAAGAAGCTTCCTCAGACAAAATGGCTGCTGGTAAGGGTGAGAAGAGTTGTTTTATCAGCTGCGTAGTGAAGATCAGCCTTTTCCGGGGTCGAAGTGTGGACAATACATCATCATTCATATCAGCTTCATCCTCCACCTTAAAACACAAAAGGGAGCCATCAGAAATTTAACATGATACAGTTAAAGCCTTCTTTTAACACATCTCAAATATAAACATGAAAGGATTTGAGTTCTAGCAAACCTTTTCTATCAACCGTCTTGTGGTGCGTGCCCAATCCAGTTCTGCAACACTGTAAGGATGTCAAAAGAGAAATTAATGTTTCATGTAATGCCAAGGAGACCTCATCGATTGCTTCTGTAGTGGCTTTGCCAATAATACAGATCAGCAACGATCCCAAAATCTAGTAGAGTAAAAATATGATCCATTAGACTACAGAGAAACATACTCAATCGAACCATCATCATCCACTGAAATGAGGGAGTTTGATGGAGATACACTGGGACAAGCCAGATCATGACCCGCGTGGTTCCCCCCCGCCCCCATCTCTAGTGGATGGCAATGACCCCAATTATTTCATAGTCCAAAGGATTGTAGAGCACTTTCACAAACAGTTGTTGGTTATAAGCAAGATATTACAGTCATAAAGATTACCACCTTATGCTTTGAAGTTTCTTAGAACCTTGTGTGATTTCCTTGTGCCATGGCATCAACTCCACCACCATACTTTTGCGCTTCTTGGGTCTCACAATGGCCAGAGCTTGCTCGTTGGTTTCCAGCAGGGAAGACAAGTTCTGATTGCCTGCCAATGGTTTAATGGCAGTGGAAACACTGCCACCCAAATTAGCATCTTCAGCATTTCTTTGTTCAATTGAAGTTATTGGATGTGTGCTTTGAGGAGTCCTCCCAAAAAGGTACTGATGGGCAGTGGCCTTTCCAGCGTTTTGCGAAGCCTCATACAAGGCCAGAATCTGCCCATTTTTATATCCAAATTGATCCATCCATGGGAGCCCTCTCTGTGGATTTTGCTGGGAGTGCTCATTTCCTCTAACAAAACTCATAGAAGATGTTAAACTAAACTGACTAGAGCTATGATTATGGGTCTCATTGCTTAAAGAACCAAAGGTACTTTGAGAAGGCAAATCCGAAGCATTCTGAGCATCTGGACTATCCAATGGAGAGACCAGGCTTTTAGCATCAGAAGATGGGTGAAATTGGTGCTGCCCAATTCTTGTTAAATTGCTGCCAGATGGACCAAAGTTATGCATCAGGTGCTGGCTAGCTTTACCAGCCAAACGTGACGCATCATTGGAACTCTCTGAGATTTTCATGCGCTTTGATCCTTTCTCACGTAAATCACTTTCTGCACTTTTCATTGCTTGCATCTGGTGCAAAAGCGAGTAGTTTTGATTGGTAAATCCCGATGGCTCTGAAGCATGGCTAACAACTGGGATACCACGACCAGGAAAACCACTTTTCTGAAATGATCCATTCTCAGTTTGGAACAAGTCCTGGCCCTCCTGATGTGATGAATGAGACCTTACAGAGCCAAGAGAAGCAACAGAATTCGCATTGAAAAGATGCTTCGACATAGCTTTTGCAGCTTGTTCTGGCCCACAAGCCTGTGAAGACAAACTTTCCTCGGGAACAGAAGGTGCATTTGACGACGAAGACAGGTGATGAGGCCCCATCGAACCAGTCCTCTCCATAGGTGTTTGCTGTAAAAGATTTTCCCTGCTCATCTGCTCCTCTCCTGATGCAACCTGTTGTGTGTTAACCAAACAAGGACCGTATGACTGACTTTGAATATCAGAGGCATGTTTCTCTTCTTTCCTTACAATATTAGGATCATCCAACTTCTGTTGAGCATGGGAGCTAGATTCCAAGCTACCAAATGTTGGGCGAATAGACTGAAAGAAGCCTGAAGAATTTTTTTGCGGAACCCCAGACATACTTCGCTGAGATGATACATCAGTCCACACATTGTGTAGCATAGTTGAAAAACTCGCAGGTTGAGGCATGGTAGGGGTAGCAGAAGCCTGAGAGCTTGAGACCACTTCTGAGGAATGAAGATGTTGGGTTGGTACCTGTGCGCTGGAAGAAGATTCCCTGGCGGTCAGCGAATCATGGCTAGTCCTTTCACGACCAAGAAACTTGCCTGGATGCACACATAGGCTTATATTAGAGCGCACACAAGAGCGAGGCGAGAGAGATAAAGAGAGAGAGAGAGAGAGAGAGAGAGAGATGCAGATTATCAAATAAAATGGAGCAAGAGATGCTGGATTAAAAAGAAGACAAAAAAGAGTAATTTATCAGCAGATGCAACAGGTGCTGGAGTATCTTGGGCATCAGCAAGATTGTAAGATGAAATCTGTGCAGAAGATTCAGCTTTACCTCCATCTTGAGAGTCCTGATTCTCTCGAAAACCTGAAGCAGGTTGCCCATGCATACGATCAGCCGAATTCATAAAACCCATATTACCAGGCCGATCCATTACCAATTTCCCACTTGCACCAAAGCTGGCTTGATACGGTGACAGATTCTTTGAAGAATGCAGCCCAGTGGAAGATGCAGGAGCAAAGGTGTTATTATCCTGAACCCCAGATGAGAATTCATGCCCCAGATGAACTGAAACACTTGGCTTATTACCCAAATACTCCCTTTGACTAACATCTTGAGAATGTGGTTCAGGATGCCCAGAACCAGTCGAGTGAAGCCATGCCTGGTTTTTATCGCCTTCCTCTGAATCATTGCATCTTAAATCAGAGTCACTAGGTGCTTGTGGGGACATATCATGCTTTAAATTTTGGGGCCTTTGAGATGGAGGAGCTAGGCGCAAACCAAAACCTTGCGAGGCCGACATTGATGACTGGTTGTACTGTGTATGAGATGGAGTATCAGAATTGCCAATCTCACACATCTCTGATGAATGACTACGATCAGAAGTACCAGCACGCTTCAACATATCATCCCTTGATTGATCTACCTTATTCAGAAGCTCAAGCATATTTTGACTGCAAAAACCAATTTCTATGAAGATAAACCCAAAAAGTTTCCGAAAGAGGCAAATTGATATGCTCAATAAACTGTGGAAAAACCATATTCTGATAGGTCAGCAGTCCAATGTGATGGTGGACCTTGATTTTAAAAAAAGAGTTGAACTTCTGGACACACTATCAGGGTCATAGCATGTTCTAGTAGGTCCTACCATCTGACCATCACCATCCATCATATCCAAGGACCATGACCCACTCCCCTTAATGAGAAGTAGTACACAGAAAAAAAAAACAAACTTCAAATAAGAAATTCAATAAATCTCTACATGGTAATTGAATTACCTCGTTACTGGCACATTCTTTGGAGTGGAGACAGATGTCAATCTATCAAAAGCAGCATTTACAGCAAGACCCCCAGAAAAGGGGCCTTTAAAAGATGCTTGCTCCTGTCCCCCTTTTGCACGACTTTCAAGAAACCCCTGGCAAATAAAGAAAAATCCTGATAAAGATGATTTAGTAACAAAAAGCAGGCATGCTGTCAATACACAGAAGTAACAACACACTCACCTTCTCCGTATCACTTCCAACAAACTTTGAGGGACCCGAAGATGCTTGCTCTTGAGTTTTCGATCCTCGAAACCCTTGCTGGAGAAACCCTTGTGTACCATGTCTGGTGTCATCAGCCTGCTGCGCATCAATGACTACGTTTCCCATGGGGTGATAATTGAACTTGCGAGAAACACCAGACGGTTGATTATTGGAACCCCCTACTGATTTCTTGCCAGCTTGGCCCCCGGATTTTTGATTCCTCGCATTTATTCTACGAGATTCTGCCACATTGAACCATGCATTTTCCTTGGGCTGACCTTCTCCAACTGTGTGTTGGCCAGTAAGATACCCATCATTACGATGCTCACTTTGGCCGAACTTCTCTGTATTCTTCTCATATATCCCCACTGGAGCCTTGTCAGTGTAACTTGTCTTGCTCTGCTGGTTTTCATTTCCTCGATATTTAACAGAAGAATCAACAGTAGAAAATTGGTTATAATCCCCCCGTTGGGTTTCCCCCACCAATAAATTCTCCCTATTCTTCTCTTGCAAAGCACTCGAACTTGGAATTGATGCACGGTGACTCATGGAAACATCTTCACTATGCACATGTGGGCTCCCAGTATGAGATTGGGGTTGCTCAAATCTACTCGTTGAACTAGGAAAAAGAGAAGCAAGCTCAGCGCTATTTCTATAGGCATTACCATGATCCTCAGTTCTCCACATGGTACCCTCATGGTCCCTTCCAAATTGAACCGCACTATTGGCATCACCACTTTGGGCTAGTTGTGCACTGTTTTCTTTGGGATGAACTTGCAGTCCTTCAATATTTGGAGGCTGGGACTCATTGATATTCCACTCAGTATCAGATCTCTCGGAATTTTTGTTCGGGATCTTATAAGAGGTACCAGAAGGCACACCCTGTTGGTGGAGCCATGACCCATGCATGCCCATTTCTTTTGCATTAGTAACGCCTTCTGAATGCTCATATGACTGAGTTTTCCATGTACCCTGAACTATTGGCCTTTGTTGGGGGGAACTATCTGACCACTTACTAGCCTCTTGGGGTGACCGCTGAAGCAAATCCGCAGGGGTGGTATCAGATCTCACGACAGTATGACCACCATGTTCTTTACCATCAGTATTACCCCTTTGCCTCTGCCTAAAGTTGGGTCCTGCCTGCTCAAAAGCATGGCCACTAAGGTCACCACCTGGACTCATATTGGCATCATCGAAAAGAGGAAAAGGTCTCGAGGTTAATGAAGAAGCAGACGGGTCAACCCAGTTTACCTGCTGCTTTCCACCATCATTCAACTGACGGGTATTCCCAACTGAATGTTCATTCTTTTGGAAACTCAAGCCACTCAACTCATCTTGTAAACCAGTATCACTACTAGAAGCTTCTGCAACAGCTGACTGCATCAGTGCACTCCAACTTCCATTCTGAACTGATGGGAATACATTCATATAGTCTTCTGATTGATTGCCATGCACAAAGCCTCCTGCAACCAAACTGTTACCCCTAGAAAAAGAACTGGGGAGCGATTGAGTTCCTTGCTCACCATCCCAAATCCCATCATCACCACTGTATAGGATCTTTTCTTCAGTGGAGTCTAGAGCAACCAAACCTTGAGAGGGACCCACATGCACGGCTTCTTGCCTGACACCAAAATCGTGCATCTGCAAGCTCTTTTGCTGGGAACCTGCTTGCTGAACATGCCCCACATTGATGCCGCTATTCGAACCATCCAAACTGAGAGGATTGCCCTGACTGAATAGATGCTTGCCATGAAAATTTTGTTTCGAGGCCATGCTATCTTCTATGCAAACCTGATCAGAGTAGGGTGCACAATCGTCACCTTGAAAAGTATTGAAGGTATTTGGCTGGAGTACTGATTTTTCAACTTGAGTCTCACCCATCTTGTTCAAAACATTGGGGGAATCCTGAGAAACCCCCTGAAAATTGGAATATGGGTTCAAGATGCGACCTGAGACGCCATATGGGGATTGATCAGTTTGAGAAGGTATGAATCCCATTGTACGTAATCCATGGCTCTGGTCATGCGAAGGCATGGGGCCATTTGGAAATCCTTGCATGGCAGGGGAAACACCCCGTACCCAATTCATGTTGCCACCTAGCATGACCATTTGCGAACTGTTTGGGACCTTATGCTCACCCATCATTTGAGGAACAACCTCACTGGGCCACAAATAACCTGATGCTTCCTGAATTGGAGCACCACTCACCATTGGGGGTAACTGATCTCCCCCTCCTTGTCTGGCCATAAAGGGCATTTGGTTACGCAAATTTTGTTGCCTTGCATCCACATCAAGCTCATGCAACTGACGCTGCCTTTCAAGCTCTTGCAGTTGCTTGTAAAAGAATTGTTGCTTCAACAATTGCATGTCTGGGTAACTTGGCTGCTGATTCATCCGTGGTTGCGGTATGCCAGGCTGTTGGCTCCTCATTAGCACTTGCTGGCTCCCAAAAAAGTCAAAATTGACTGGTGCTTCTACAGCTTCAAACCTCTCCGAGTTCCTACCATGGGAGTCTGAACTGTGTTCAGAAGCCTGCCCTTGTTGTGACTCAAGAATGGCCAGGTTTCTCAGTGCCATATTCTGCTGATTAGATACCAGGTCAGCGCCAAGAAATTCTACCTGATTGAGACTGTTTTGGAAGCCCTGTGGACCATGAACAAACCCATTCAAGCTCAGCTGTGGGTTTCTTTGGTTCTTTGCAATCTCAGATCTCAAACTCAACTCTGTAAGATTCGCACCAAATGGCATGTTTCTCGCATCCACAGCTTGAGAATCTGTAGGTGCAAAAAAATGGTAATGGACAAATATATCATTTTTTATCCACAAGAGAACCTTCAAAAAGGAAAGATAGACACAAAAAAGGTACAATTAAAGCTAACAATCTACTAATACAAACTAATAATAAAATAAGGGCGCAGTTGGCATACGGATGCATCCGTAGCTGTAGAGGTAAGGTGCACCTTCAAATTTTATCATGGTATATAATTTTGATGAAAAATGTTGTTAGGATTATCTCAAAATCTATTTTTATATCTAATTATTAAATTTTCAATTTCAAAAATGGTTAAGATCAAGTAGCTCTATAAACATATGAAAAT